GGGTCTCCTGTGCAGTCCAGAGGGCGGGATGTCACCGCATCTGCCGGGTCTCCTGTGCAGTCCAGAGGGCGGGACGTTACCGCATCTGCCGGCCGGTTTCCGCGCATGGAAGCCGTGGCTCTTCGGAAGGTGGTGACCGACTCTGGACTCAGGGATGCCCCCAGAGATTTGCTCAGACGGCTTCAGGCTTCATCTAACTCCGTTCCTCCAAGATCCGATCTGGGGGACTCCAAGGAGAAAACAGGTCTTGGCGAGACGGGCAAGGAGGAGGGGCGGGGGGTGAGCCCGTCCGGGCTGAGCTGAGCCCCTGCCCCCTCCGCAGCGCCATCTTTCTTGGGTCCTCGCTTCACCTCTGCGCTTGGAGCGCCGCGTGGCTTAGCTCCGTAGAGGTAGAACTTACTGTCCGATCGTCGCCGAGCATGTGCCCGGGACGGTCCAGCATTTCCCCATCCGGTCCAGCCAGAGTCTCGTCCTCCATAAAGCGTGGCATCGGGCTCATTTTTATTTTCTCTCTGTTAATTTTTTTAGGTCCTTTTCTGTTGGTGGAACACGTCTGTGCACCCCGTGGCATGTCTGTCTGCCTTTGGTGGGTCCGGGCTTAAAATGTCCCCATTCAGGCAGGCGGGCGGACCAAGCCCCATTCGCTCTCCTCTCTCATTTTCACAGCCAGGGGAGGGCGCGCAGCGCTGGGCAGGCGTCAGGGAGCGAGGTGGGGGTGAGGGGTGCAAGGATGGGCTGAGGGATGTGGTGGGAAGGGGGGAAGTGATGCTGGGGGGGCTTTGCTGATGAGACCCCGTGGAGAGTGCTGAGTGGGGGACGGGCGCAGGGACAGTCTTCGGGGCATCTGGCGTCCTCACCAGCCTGGTGATGGCATTGTGTTTAGGATGCCAGAGCCTGTGCCCTTGTGTTCCTTTATACCTTCCCGCAGCCCCTCAGCGCCCCCTCCCCGCCAAAAAGAAGGTCAGTGGCGTGGGCGTGAGGATGTAGCTTGTGAAGGAAATGAGACGGAGGGGAAAGGAAGGAAAGGCAGGGATCTGAGGTTGGTGGACCGAGCTTGGTGGCACTGAGCCCCCCTGCCCCATCAAGGGGTGGAACAGCCGAGATGCCCGACGGGGATGGGGAGTGACGTCAGAGCCAGATCTCTGGGGGGAAATGTCCCAGATGGCAGAAGTTTCAGCAACGAACAGAATCCCCTGCTCTGCTCTTTGCTGGCATAGAAACATCTAGAACAGAAAGGATCCACTATGGTAGATTCAGGTTGACTTGTCGTCTGAGAGGTTTCTACTGAGAAGCAAGAGCAGCTGGCACGTGTGTACCCTTGCGCCCGGGCCCCCAGGGGTGACCAGGCGGGGAGGGGGTGCGGGCAGCGGCTTGTGGAAATCTGCCCCCCACCACCTTTTTGGCCAACACTGTCTAGACTGTCAACCTTTGACCTCCCTGCCCCTGCGGTGTCTGAACCCAGAAGCTCCCTTCGGGGATAGCACAAAGCCCCATTCTTCCCCGTGGCCCCAGCCTCTACCCTCTGGAAGCTCTTGCGATGCCGAGGCCACGTGGGCCGCGGATGGTGGTCACAGAGGCAGAGGCAGGGTAACTGCCAGGTCGCCCTGTGTAGCCACGAATCTCACGGCATCCACGGACAAGAGGGGGCAGAAAAGGGCTTTGTTTTTATATCCCAGATACAATTTCTCTTCCCCGGGCACAAGTGCCTCCTGAGGGCCCAGGACTGCCAGCTAGGAGGGGAAACATCTCTGTTTCTGCAGCGAGGGAGGCAGATTGAGGGCTGCTAGGGTTCCACTTAGACCCTCGTGCCCAACACCCACGTCTGGAAAGGTAATTCCTGGGTGGATCCCAAACACACTTGCCAAGAGGCTCTGTCCCCTGGTTTTGGGGACAGTTGTCACAAGCTGAGTGTCAGGGTCTCCCAGGCCTTGGAGAGACCCGGCCCAGCTGCAAACTGTTCCTCCATCCCCCAAATCCTTTTCTCCTCCCCCCTGTCTCCCTGGAGCCCCCTCCAATTGCCCAGAGACCCACCGAAGTGCCTGCCTCTCCGATACTCCCGGCGCACAAAGGAGGGGGCCAGGAATCGACCACTGGGAGGTGGCCATGGCTCCTGACTACCCAGGCCTGGGCCACCCCAGCCACTTGCAGGGTGCAATCTGGGGCCCAGGGGCTTTTGTGTCCTGATACTTTGTCTTAAGGAAATCCCCCAGGAGCCAGTTTCGAATAGTGCTCTCTGCTGGCCAAGGCCTGCAGTGTCCCCGCCCTAGCTGGAGGCCAAGAAGGCCACACTTGGGCCCTAGGAAGTGGGGTTCACTTTCTGCCTGCCCACGGAGTACCTGGCTTTTTGGGGGGGCTCCCCCTACATCTCAGGTTTTTACCTTGCCCTAAATTACTCTCTAGGAAAAACTCTTCCTGCTGAAGGTGACTGTGTTTTCTGTCCCCCATGGAGGGCCCGGCCCCTCCAGCCGCAGCCTGGCTTCTCCCTGACCCCCAGAACTCCAGCCAGTGCCTTGTCTGAAACCCCCATGTCTGGGACCCCCGAGCAGAGAAGGGTCTGCTGGATTCTGCTTGAGGCTGGGCCCTGGGAGATCCCAAACTTGACACCCCAGAAAGCAAATAAAACCTTTGAAACCTGTCATTCTCTGTGTGTCCTTTCGTGAGGTCGGCCTGTGTACCGTGGTGTCAGTGGGCAGAGGGGACCCGGTACTTCGGAGTTTCCTGTCCTCAGCGGGTGGTCTGGTGCCTGGCTGGTGCCGTGTGCTGAACAGATAATGACGACAGGACGTCTTTACTGTTCTCCTGCCTCACAACCAGGGACCTTGGTTCTCATGCACAGAGAGGTTGAGGAATTGGCGGATGGTCACACAGCCAGTGGGGGTGGGTGCTGGAATTTGACCCATGACCTGTGCCGACCTGCGGCATGTGCAAAATTCAAAATTCCCATCCCTCTGGCAGGGGGTGTCATTGCCACCTCTTACAGTGTGACTGAGCTCCGCCCACTGAAGCCTGTGTCTCCCCTGCCTCGGCCAGGGTGAGAGGGAGCTGGAGTGGGCACCCCGGCTGGCCCCTCAGCGGGGGCAGCTTGAAGAGCACAGACAGGCCGTGTTCATTCCCCTGTGTCTGTCCTCAGCAGAAATGAGAACACACTCCCAACTTTCTGTGGCTTCCAAAGAATAAACCTTTGAAACCAAAGGGGCTTCAGCAATAAGGAAAATGTCTTGGGGAAGGTGGGTCCCACGGGACAGGTACACATCCTCAGAGTCGCTGAGGACTGAGAGTCTTTGCATCCCTGCAGCCCCAGGTGGAAATATAGATGCTTGCCCTCCATGGCTGGTGGAAGGTGGAAGGGGTCCTTTTTTTTTTTGAGACAGGATCTCGCTCTGTCGCCCAGGCTGGAGGGCAGTGGCATTATCATAGCTCACTGCAGCCTCAAACTCCTGGGCTCAAGCGACCTCCTGTCTCAGCCTCCTGAGAAGCTGGGACTACAAGTGTGCACCACTGCACCTGGCTAATTTTTGTTTTGTTTTGTTTTGTTTTTTTAGAGATGGGGTCTTGCTACATTGCCCAGGCTGATCTCAAACTCCTGGCCTTAAGTGATCCTCCCACCTCGGCCTCCCAAAGTCCTGGGATTACAGGCGTCAGCCACTGTACCCGGCCCTTGGGTTCTTTTTATATGGGGGATCCTTTCCCCAAAACCCGGCACTTTCCTCTTGCCTCCTTGGCCCTGTAGGGGAAGAAAACAAGTTGCTTCCCTTTGCCCTCCTAGATTCTTTGGCTGGTCTGCAAATTAAATTGACGTAAGATGGATTAACAGGAGAAAAACAATTGTCATCACACATACACACACAGGAGTCCCACAAAATTATGAGACCCAAAGAAGCAGGCACATGATTTGGGTTTATGTATCGTCCTGAGCTGCAGAAAGGACTCGGGGCTTCTGCTGGGGGTGGGGTGACGCTGGGGGTGACACTTTATGGGAAGTCGAGGGGCAGAAGTGCCTGGTGAACGCAGACTGCCTTGTCTTGCTGACGAGAGCTCTCAGGTGATAAGAGCTGTCCTGGAGCAGCTGTTTCTGGAACAGATGCCTGTACTAATAAAAATTTCCTTTATACGTCATAAGTTTCTTTTGCAGTTTCTCGAAGTA